AAATTTTAAAATAATACAAACAGCAATTGGCAGTACAGAACAATCAAATAATTATAATTTAATTTGTAATTTGTTCTAACATCACCATTCTGTGGTAGGATATGTGGAAACTTTAAGGAGTTTTGGGTGTGAGAAACTACTGGGAACACTTACTTAATATGCAGAATTACTATATTTCTGAGTTATTTCAGATGTAACTTCTGTAGTATATAAGCACTGAGCGTGTACCACAGAATCTCACTGAACCTGATAAAATTAATTCCCATTGATTTCAAGATATTCATTAGGTAGTCCCTGTAACTAGCTACTTAAAACACAACAAAGTAACTAAACAAGTTGAAGCTCAAATTTAAAGTCCAAAGAAAACAATGCTGTTAGTTACTTCCTAATCATGAAGACACCTAAACATCTCTAATTTTCGGCTTCAGCTTCTGGTGCATTATTTTAGACCTCAAGAGGTTGTACCTGTAAACAATAGTTTTCTCTAAAAGTAAAAATAAAAATGTAGAACTCAGACATATTTGGCAACACTGATGAAATACAAACCGATATAAAATAGATTCTAAATGATTATAAATAATGATAGTTAATGTACAGTACTTGCAAATTGCTATCCAAATGGTTCTTGTTATGTCCATTTCTATGACATGCTACTGCAGCATGACAAAAATCTGGCTTAATCTCAGGGGTTATTTTAATCTAGAGTATTTATTTCTGTACTGCATGTGGAGATAGGTTATTTACAAACAGTAGTTAGTTTTGGCACATAAAATACTCAAGCAAACAAAGATTACTGGAAATAGAAAGAAAACTTCCAGTAAAACGAAGATTGAACTCTCAAAAGTTCAAATGATATCTAAACTAAACATGACTAATCTTCAGAGATTACATGTTACTATCTTCACTTTTTGTTTTTCAAGTGCAGTGGTAGTAGAGTGTTTAAAATCACACTTCTGTTCTCCATAAGTTTGTAATAAACTTTCTGATACTACTTTTGCTTTAGCAGACCCATGGTTTGAGTTTCTGTGGGGTTTTTTTAGTAATATTAAATCTCTCCATTAAACCAATTTTGTTTTGTTGTAACTGCTCACTTAGATCCACTATGAAAAGACAGCCTTGCTGAATTTACAGGAAACCTAAAATTGGTATAGAAGGTGCTGACTTGGCCCCTATGTTTTAATTAGGCATTTTCTGTGTATTTATTACTACAGTGGTTTATTTTCTCCACAAGAACAAGTTGGTGTGAGCATTGCCTTTGCTGAACGTTCCTTTCCTGCTTGAAATCATTATGTTTGTCCAGGGATGACCAAGTAATTTATTGTTTCTTCATGGGATGAAAGAGGAGAAGGAAGCAGACAAGAACAAGGAGATAAAAATATCATCATAAAATATCAAAACAGCCAAAAGATGAAGTCCAAGTTACTGCATATTTCATTATGTCAGGAAATATGAGAAAGCAGACAAGAACATATGCTGTCTGTATTAGTACATGCAGTATTTATGCATCTTTTAAAAATAATGCTTAACAATTTACAAGAAAAAAAGAAGTTGATACTACTATTAATATAAAGAATTAGGTTATATTAAAAGATGTCAATAAGTTGCAGGGAATGAAGTAACTAATCCATGTGGACTTGGCTTCACGGACAGCCAGTAACTTTCCACTGTACTCTCTATGCAGTGTAAGCAGGTAGGCCAAATAGATAGGAACATGCTATAGATGCTGAGTAACGTTTCTTTAATCTCACCACCAGTGCCTTTAAAGTATAATATTCTTGAGGGAGGAGTAAAAGAGGTAATTTTTCATCTGGTAATTAGAATCCCATAAAAATGTTTCTTGAAAGTCAGGTTTTTCTACAGTTTTGTGATCTCTGGCTCTCGTAAAAACAAAAGGCAGAGCAGCAAAACACCCAGTAAAATTAAGACTTGGTAACCTAATTTTGGATTTATTATTCCTTTGTTTTCAGAGTTAGGGCTTCAGGTACAATTTGGTAGAACTGCGGTGCAAATAAATGAGGTGCAAGTAATTTGGAGGAAAGAAATTAATTTGTTCAACAAGTTGTTAGAAGAGCTGAATTTCTGCTTCAGCAAAGAAGAAATAGCTCCCCTGTCTTACTGACTTTAATATTGTCAACTAAATGTGAGCAGCTTTGGCTCATGCCCACTGAGTTCAACGAGAAACAGATTTGAATCCACAACATTTTGGATCAGGCACAAAATTATTTTGATGGCTTCAAGGAATAGAAGTGTATAGGACTATAAGGGAGCACAGCTGATAAAATGAAATCTCGGTTTCACTAAATTCAATGGTAATTTTACTGTTCACTTGGAAAAAGCTGAAATGGCTCCTGATACTTATTTCAGTTAAGCTAAAGTGTGATTGGGTGGGCTGGCTACGGAAAGCTCATGAAGAAGAAGAAGAATAAAGAAAGTATCTCCTTCATCAAGACTTGAGTTTTCCTACCAGCAAGCTATTAAATTTTTTTAAGGTTTTACAAAAAGAACAAAAAGCAAAGAAGCAATTCTCATTCCTTGAAAATGTAAAAAAACCCTAGAGTACTTTTTTTTTTCATTTTAATCCATCCTGTCAGATACAAATTGACTCTTTTGCATATACAAACACCAAGCAATTTCACAGGCACCAGCATCAGAAAAAATACATTTCTACCAATGATAGGATCATGCATTGTGCTTCAACACAAACCCATCTTCAGTTATTTAACACACTTAGTGGAATGGTGTAGTAGTCCTGTTATGTGGGAGCCATATCACTGACTCAATGTAATTGCTGCTTTCCTGGCCCTTGTGACCTTAATTCCTCTAAAAAAACCCTGTGTTTTAGAGATGTACCCACAAAAGACAACTAAAGAGAAGAAAATGCACCAAGGTGATCAGGAGTAACAACAATGAAGAATTAAAAATCTATCATCATTGTGCTTTTAAAATTACATATAACTTATGTGGATAATGATATTAAAATAGCTTCTTTTTCCATACTTGAATGCCTCTGCAGTATACTCCATTATTTCAAATTAACACTGGAAAAGGATTTAGCTGAAAAACTTGCGTGTCTGAGACCGAAAGAAAGCTTCATTAGTATAATTCCTTACAGTCCTTCTGTTAATATTTTCAGGGATAAAAATATAATTATCCTTTTTGAAAAAAGGCGACAAAAAGGCGACAAAAAGGCGACAAAAAGGCGACAAAAAGGCGACAAAAAGGCGACAAAAAGGCGACAAAAAGGCGACAAAAAGGCGACAAAAAGGCGACAAAAAGGCGACAAAAAGGCGACAAAAAGGCGACAAAAAGGCGACAAAAAGGCGACAAAAAAAAAGGCGACAAAAAGGCGAAAGGCGACAAAAAGGCGACAAAAAGGCGACAAAAAGGCGAGCGACAAAAAGGCGACAAAAAGGCGACAAAACTGGGAACATAGTGAAATTATAGTGAAATTATGGAAGATCTAGATTACAACTCCAGTAGAAAATGTGGGTCAATTGGATAGGAATATAAAAGTATCAGTTCTGACTGAAGCATGAAACTTACGCAAACAAGGGGGGAAAAAAAGCCCACCCTTTTTAGAACATTGAGATGTGTGAAAACTACAAATGCTAGAACTGTGAAAAGGAAACTGGGAATTTGATCCATATGTTCTGGAAATGCCACTGCCCACAGCTAAATTATTTTTGGAGGACAGAACAGAGAACAGAAGAACAACTGCTAAAGCTGTTATAAACACAGGGTCTCCCTAGTGATGCAAAGATCTTACCATGGCAGATATTAATGAGTGACTATTACCATCTGGATACCATATATGAAGAAAGCATCTTTGGTATGTTCTAGAATAATTACTAAGGAATACGGTATTATTTATCAATTATCTCTCTAATTCTCTGAGGAGAAATCATTCTGCTAACTCCAAGGGGAAAAAACACTATTCAGAGTGGTTCACACATTGATTTTCTTCATATAGCTGAATATAATTTAAAAGCCTGAACTGATCTAAGTAATTCTACTGTATTAGGGAAGATCATATTTTAAGCTTGGGGAGCTCTTTATCATGGTATATTTTTTCAAAGTGAAATATTTTTAAAATCTGCAGCATATGAAATAGCAGTAAGACCTGTGGACAGATTCTGCTACTGCTTCTCAAACCCAAAAGCACATCATGCTGACTACAAGAGAAATAATTATCAATTAGCTTGGGCAACCATTTACTTGTTCACAGGAACGTATGACTGGAAGGAATGAACTTCATGCATTCTGCCATCAAAGGCAACCAAACCTTATATTTCTATTCTGTACTTTTAGCAAGCAGAATCTTCATACCAGTTGGCATCTTCCACTTCCTACCTGAAGGCTGACCCTGTACACTTACTCCTCTGACAATTCGATAGCCTGCAGTTCTCACATTCAGTTTATTCTAGACTGTCAGTACCCATTTGTACCAACATTATCCTTCTAGTATGCAACACATACTCTCATAACTAGTTCACACTAGTAACTCTTGCCACAGAAAGGGATAGAGATCAACATAAAGAGCGATAGATTTAAAGAAAATAGTATGTACATTTTCTTGGCCATACCAGCAAACTCTCCCTGAAAAAGTTAAAAGATGCTTATAAAAAATTCTAAATGGTGGCAACTATACACCATCTGTTTTGTTCTGGTTTAGAAAGGAATTGCATCAATCCATGATGTTCTATATACCCCCCCCCCCCCACACCAGCCACTAAGCAAAACCTAGCAACAAAGTTGTGACTATCATATTGAAATAATCAAAAAATTTGTTTCTTCTATTACAAATTACATTTGAAAATTATATTACCACCACACTTCTGGTTTGATACTAATTTTTACTCTTCTTTGAAAAAATGTCTTTGCTAAGCAATGTACGAATTCTAAAAATAAATAGTTCTCTGCACTGATATAATCATCAAACTTGAGCTGACTCTAAGTACAGTTTTTATTTTTCATGTCTTTATTCATTCTTTTCTACATAGTATTTGTGGAATTCAGCATCTGGAACGAGCAGGAAACAGGTTGACTCTCTTTGACTCCCTTTATTTCTGCATAGTGACATTTTCCACTGTGGGCTTTGGGGATGTTACACCCAAGATATGGCCTTCAAAGCTACTTGTTGTCATTATGATCTGTGTTGCTCTTGTGGTGTTGCCCATACAGGTAAATGTGTATTTTTCTTCTCTTTAGAATTGTTTTTAAAACAAAAGAATAATAACTGAAATAATTTATTGTTACTATTATTATTGCATATAAAATGTCAGAAAAAATAACTATCTTTTATACCTCCTATTCTGGTTTGTTGGGTTTTTTCCTTCCTTTTTCCTTTGTCTGTTCTCCTATAGTCTAGATTTGTACTAAAAAACCAGAGCACTAATAACAGTTTTCAAGTGCTGGTGAAAGCTTTCTGTTCCTGTCATGTACCACAGAGCCCTTCCTTCATCCGAAGACATGGGTTTGTTATTAATGGAGCAATTTAAAAAAAAAAAAAAAGAAAAAAACAAAACCAAAAACCTAGTAGCCAGCACTTTCTTTATGAGTATAGCATTTCCTCTGCAGGCTCTCCCTGTTTCTAATCTTGGTTCTCTGCACTTCCTCTCTTACTCTTACAGCTCAGTGCTAACTTGAAAATAATCTCATTAAATCTGCAACTCAAGCAAACTGGGTTCACAGCTGTGTATGTCGGTACACACACACACAGCGCCAACAGCACAGTTAGGAATTTTTGATGCCTACTGAAGTTTAGGTCTTCTAACAGTTTCAACAGGAAAAGGCTGATTTATGAAAATCCAAGTATTTCAAGGAGTCAATCAGTTTCATTAAATTTGTACCAAACGTTTCTCAGCTCATCAGGTGAGGCTTGATGACAGAAACCCTGAGATTACATGGGAAGCCCTGCCAAGATGTTAACTGTTCCACACTTGGTGATCACCCAGACCTCGTGCCACAAAAAGGGGATCTGGGGAGACATTGTGCATGCTTATCAAAGCTTATAGGAGTCCTGCTAGACCATGAAACTCCAAAGATTCTCACACAGTCATAGTTTCCAGACTCTGCTTCTTTGACAGTAAACTAAAGCTCACTGTGAGCAGACAACACGGAAATGCTGGGAGGTTGGAAGCTCAAGCTTTTAGCATTAATTTTCTTGAAATTATTTGAACATTTTAATTATACCTAAATATTTAATGTCTGCATACACAGACATATGCACTAACACAATTATATTCCCACTCAGTGGAAATTTAGTAAAATATATATTCTATTGAAAACTAAAACATGCTTTAAGAAATTTAATTAGGAAATAGAAATTTCGTCTTTCAGGTAGTTCTGATATACACTTCAGGGATAAGAGCTCTGCATTACCAGTAAATAACCTGGAATCTACTGCCCTTTCACATAAATTTACCTATTATTACCTACTTTATTTTATAGCTTTGTAGTGATAATGGGGCTTCATATAGTTTTCCATACACAGAATGTGGGAGGCATTCTCTCCTGAGCTTTTGTCCTGCTATGATATGAAATCAGTTATTATTCACAATTCAGTCTCTCCATCAGTTGAATGTGGATGAGAAAAAGCAGCTATCACACAGATATATAGTTAAATTGAGCTCAGTATTAAATACATATTACTTACAAGAAGCTTTGAAATGGTGTTTGTATGTTTTATTACCAATTGTTACAACAGCACTGATTGTTACACTATTCTATTTAGTCTAAAGGATTCAGACTGGTAGAGCAATGTTTACTGTTAGCCTGCATATATTGTTCAGGTGGCAAAGACAAATTTGCTGTATTAACAGCTGCTGTGTATTTAAGTTGTATCTAAATTTATGACAGATAAAAGTATACAGAAGGTCACCTTCAGAGCATTATAAAAATCTGAGAAGAGTTATTGCCCAAACTAAGTAAAATGATGCTTCTATCCGAGTATCTATACTCACAGTATACACTTAAGTATGTGAAAATTTAACCTTTCATTTGAGGGAAGCATTTATGTCACGTGGCACTGGAAAAAGAGAGCTCAGAGGTATAAAATACATAAAGGAAATAAGGTACAGCCTTCATTCTTTTCTAAAATCTTGAGATTTACTGTAATCTTATGATATTTTAATGGATTTACCCTGCTATTTGTGCGTGAGTAGAGGGTGGCTCTACTGCCATGTTTTTCAATCACCCTATTATTCATCTCACCCACTTACTAGAGAACTTTTTACAAAGAAAGAGACGTTGTGAGCTAAGGGCATCTTTTCATAGAGGCATGAGATGAATGAAGCAACATTGTTAAGTCATGATACAGTTGTACTGCACATCTGCTTGTCTATATTTCACTGACAATTGGCATCTCTTGCAGTTTGAACAGCTGGCATATTTATGGATGGAGAGGCAAAAGTCTGGTGGTAACTACAGTCGACACAGAGCTCAGACAGAAAAACATGTTGTGCTGTGTGTTAGCTCTCTGAAGATTGACTTACTTATGGATTTCTTAAATGAATTCTATGCTCACCCCAGATTGCAGGTACTTACAGTAAAAAAAAAGAAAATAAACTCAAAACACTGATTTTTTGCAGACAGCCTTCTGAAATGTTTTTTATTTGTAAAACTGAATTTGGGAATAGCTGACTGAATTGGGAATCTATAATTGCAATAAGAAGCTGAGATACAGTACGGAGACATTCATTTTAAATTGAGGTAAATAGACTAAATGATAGAATTACTATCTTGTTGAATTATGCCAGTCCTTTTAGAAACAGATATTTCCATGCAAATTCCTTATATTCTACCCCAAAATAGAAAATAAATGAGAACTACTCAAGTTATTTTTTCCTGTTGTTTTGGGACTGGATCCAAAACTCCTCACAAGTCAAAGCATCTTTTGGTTTTTGCATTTTGCTTTGTTTTTTTGCCAGTGTTAGGAAGACTAGATCCTTTTGGAATTGTTGAAATTAAGAAATAAATGGACGTACTTTAAAGGACAAAGACCTGAAAGATTACACACGAGATTTTCTTAGTGTACACATATTCCCTAGCTAATGCAAACAGATGTCACTTGTTTTGATCATATAAAAGCTTATTTATATGAGATAGCAATTTGGATTCATTATCATTAGCTTTGCTACAGACCATTTCTTTTGCTAAATCTTCTCTATGTCTTTTACCAAGTTACCTGTGGTACCATGCTTCATTAACTAGCGCAAAAAAAAAAAAAAAAATCACAAAAATACAATCCTCAAATTGCTGAGCAGCAATTTGACAAATCCCAAATCCAAAATATTCCCCAAAATAATTAGCTAGTAAGGAGCATAAGCAAATGCACAAAGAAATCCAGTTCTTTATAGATGCAAACGCAACTTGAAATCCAAAATTTAGTTAACTAATCTGGTGAATGAGTCAGGCTCTGTGATACACTGGAGACAAAGACGAAAAGTTCTAATACTACTTATATAGCCTAAAAGAGCTTATATACATTCCCTTCACAGTTGAAATGGGAAGCTGCAGGATACAGATGATGTACTGGATCCGGTGCAGTAAGCTTTCTGCAAAAGTCTGTGTGTGCTAAGGAAGACTTCTATGACAAGCCTGTCCTAAGCTCTCAGTCTCTCCTCTCACATTCCATTCATCTCTCCTTTTCATATGTACATGCATGTATACTTCAGACCAACCTTACTTTTCCTAACAAGGACTGTCTATAGCACAGGAAACAGAGTTTGGATCTGCCCATTAACATAGAGGAAAAAATCTGGGGGAAGACAATTCCATTTCGATTGCTGAAAACTTCCTACATTTTCCAGCTAGAATGACAGAAATGTAAATTGTCTCTAAAAAAAATTATGCTCATATGGAAACAAAAATGTTTCTAAATGGACTTTAGTTGCCACCCTGGAGTCTTTTGTGAGCAGTTGACCAACTGTCCAGCCATTTTTATTAAAGAATTCAATATTTTAAACACATGTATTCAAATAACTTTTGTCAATGAAATTTGAGAATTGTCAGAGACATTTTTGACATCCTGAGTCTCTGTTGACTCATTCTCTAGCAACAATACATGGTAACATAAAAAAAAAAAAATAACATGACTATTCCTCCTTATGTTTTTGACAGGACTATTATGTCGTTATTTTGTGTCCTACTGAGATGGATGCTCAGGTCCGAAGGGTGTTACAAATCCCAATGTGGTCCCAAAGAGTTATCTATCTGCAAGGCTCAGCACTAAAAGATCAAGACCTGTTGAGAGCTAAGTAGGCAAATATTGACCAATATTGTTTTTTACTTTTGTTTCACTCATACTGTTTGATAAATAACTTCGACAAACAACAAAAGCTGTGCTAGAAGGAAAGCATGTGTATTTAGAAAGCAAGGCTCTTTGATATAATTTGCTTTTCTTAATATCTGAAATTTTTCAAGGATTTGTAAGTCCTATTTGACCAAATTTTTCTTCACTGTCTTTTCTGTCTCAGTTTTTAAAGGTATTGAAACAGAGTGCCTGTGATTTCTTCTGAAAAAGCAGCACAGAAAATTCCAAAACTGCCAGTAATGCTAGACTTTGTTTCTGTTCATTGAGCAAAGATGGTAAACGTGATAGTAGTTCTACTGACCCACTGAAGGGGAAAAAAGTAAAAAATAATTATCACCCTTTGAACCCATTGCACAGTTTTGTTTTGAAGTACACACAGTGGTGTACTTCCACCCCTTCTAATAAATCCTCTCTGCTAGTAAATAGTTAATGACATTAATCAAAACACATCAGACAAACAGTTACTCAAACCCCCCTCTCACCATTGCTTAATCACTTGAGGGTGTGAAGGAATTCACAGTGGAATTCAAGTAGGAGGATTGTCTCTTTAAACTCTCCAAAGAGAGAGAGAAAGGTGATTCTTAGCAAATAACTGATTTAACTTATCTGCATTACTCTCTATAAGAACTTATTCAGCAACTAATATAGATATCTAAAATTAAGCCAATACCTGTCTATTTGTGTCATTCAGCCTTCTTTACTCCAGGGGAGTTCTTTCCAAGAATCTAATCTGTGAGAAGTCTAGCGAGCTGTGTTATCTTCCCAGATTTCTGCCACTGAAAAAGCAACAATTACTTCTATATCTGTTTAAAATTTGAAAATACAATAAAGCTTTTTTCAGGATTAGGAACTTCCTTTTAGAGAGAGGTTCCTTTTTTTGCTTTCCTGCTGATTTCAAGAAGGAATTCATGTGGGGGTTTAGCTTCTGCACATTAGGAGAAGAAAAATTAGGCTGTTCCCTAAAGATAATCTTGAATTTCACTTATAATAACCTGGAGGTAGTCTGTGGAATTGTGCTTTTTCCTGCAAAACATGTAATTGAATGTACCTGTCATAGAATAATTTTCAACCTCTCCTGAGGGAAGAAGTGTAGTGGGAATTTAATAGAACATTTAATATGAAATATAAACCAGTACCTAAGATGTTTGCTGTATTTCTTTTTAATGATAACATAACGTACTGAGAAGATAACAAGGCACATGGTAAATAAATAAACAGTTACCAACAACAAAAAAAAATAATCAAGAAGTGTCTCATTATCAAAATTTATACATATATTATACATGAAATGCAATGTCAAAGTAACATGATAAAGGTTGCAGCAAAAAGAGAAGGAATACCAGAAGTTGGCTGACTGCATAAGTAGTAAATAGTCAGTTAACTGAAGACTGTATTTTTCTTTATATGCCCTAGTACACAATTTGGCTTTACAAAAGTGACATTCATTCTTGCTTCCTACCTTGGAGAGCTTCACTTTGCAAGTTTTTGGTGTTCTCTGAGTACGTGCCCGGCTTTAACAAAAAAACAGAAGGAATTCTGTCATGAGGTATCACACTGATACTTACATTGTTCATCAGCATGACTAGAAACTTTATAGCTCGTTCAGCATTTGAAACAACACAGTAACTGATTAAAACAGCTCTCATTCTCCATGCAGGTTAGCACTAGAAAGTGAATAACACTTACCATGCTTGATTTTTTTCCCCCCTACAGCTTTCTCCCATGTTCTGTCATGACCTCAAATACTTTTTCTCTCTCCTTCCACTTTCTTTAGTGAACCATCACAAATCTTGATCCCCTTCATGTCCACTCTTTTTCTTTACCTTATACTTTTTCCTTTCACAAATTTCTCTTCAATATATAAAGTCCCTTTAATTTCTGCCATCCTCAAGCAGTGGAACTATTGGGGTTTAGTCTCAGATTCAGTTTTCTGGCACATAAAAATGGTGTAATTGACAAAGCTTTTTTAGTTGTTAGGACATTAATAACACTTCTCTCATAAGGATACTCTGAGTTCTAATCTAATTTTTTTAACATAGAGGCTATTAGTGTTTCTGTTGTCTAAATTAATTACATTCATAGGTGTTAATCACAGGTTATTATCCTTGTCATCTGTGGCTGAAATGATTCAAGAAGTTACAAAAAACATTGGGGGGAAAAAAAGTGAATATGTTCACATGAGGTTTCATTTCCTTATGAAATCATCTATATATACTGTCAGTCCCAGTTACCTCATCAGCTCTCATCAAAATCTCATCTACTTTCCTACAACTTTGCTAAAGACCGTATCTTCCCAATTCTGCTCCCATGCTTCGCTGAAACTACTCATACAGATCCCATGATTTGTTCCTAATCAGTACTCAGAAGTGGCCTCCTGGCCTCACTTCTCCACGTCAGCTGCATTTGACATTAATATTTTGGATATATTGATTTGCCTTTGTTAAAATGATTTTTCCATTTCAGGTACTTTAATCTTTTGAGGCTTCCTCTGTTTTCCTACTGCTAGGTGCCTATGGGGAATCTACAATGACCTGACTTTATCCTTCTCTTTTCCTTATACTTTCTCTGAGCGATCTCACAGAAAACACACAAACTTAATCACTATTTCTATAGTCAAAAATTAAAAGGTTGGCCAAGCTATCCGACATCTCATTATGGATATCTATTCATTAATTTTAGTTTAGTTACAGACAGTTGTAAATAGATCTTAATTTTTGCTACCAAAATAAAACCAGTATCCTACTGTGGATCATAAGCTCGGAATCATATTGTAGAGCATCCTGTGTAGACTAAGCCTGCATCTTGCTAGTGTTTTCTCACACAAGCTCTCATTTTTGCCCCACTTAAAGCTATATTTATGTTCTTGACATATACCATCTCAATTCCCTGAACCCTTGTTTCAGAACACTCTAGAAATATTATTTATGTAGTACCTCACTTTGCCTCATTGCAGTCCTTCCCTGGCTTACCCTTTTTATTGCATCAAGGAGTGACCCCTTATTCTCACTTAGCCTGCAACTCCCAGTTCTTACTGAGAGGTAACCTTCTGATAAGTCTATAATGCTATTCTCTTTCTCACATACAACAGATTAACATACAAGTCCCATTGTGATTTCACCCACTCTGTCCCTTCAATCTAGGATTAATTTCTCAGAAACATCTGTAAAATAATCCCAATATTCTCCATCACATCCCCTCTTCAGTCAGTTCTCTGCTCTGATATCTAGTGAGACCATTTTCTACCATGATAATTTTTATATTCAGGTATTGTCACACCATTTCTTCCCGTTTCCCATGTTTGCGTATACTTTTGTTGTCCTTTGTCATGTCACTTCAAGCTTATATGGCAAGGACTGTATTTTTGTTCTGTGTTTGTACAGTACCTAAAAGAACAGGCTCTCAGTCTAAGCCTAGGGTCCCAATGGCCTGAACTATTACTAACAACCACCAATTCAATTTTCTAGCAGCAGAAAAACCAAAGATTTAGGAATCTCAGGTCCCATTCCAGACTCCAGAATGGAGTTGCTGCAATGACCAGTGAATTGCCTGTTCATTTTCCCCAGCTTCTGCCTCACTTTTCCCCTTCCCAGGACACCCATTCTGATCATCCTTTTATCTCTTTGCCCAGAAAGTCCTGTCTTCCCAAGGAGGTCAACCAAGTCCCTATTTCTTTACTTCCATGTACCAGTAAGTGAAGTAGGATTCACTGGAGAAGGATATCAAGATCTGAGGCAAGAGAGGAAAAGCAAACTTTGATGAAACCTTCAGTCAGACAGTTTTTCTCCACACTTCCACCACCACTCTTTATTACATGACCAGTTGTACCCTCTAGAGAACAATTATGCATTAAAAGTTCCCAAAGAGACCATAAACTGAAAATAGTTAATTTAATGCATACATACACAGAAATGTTTGTTATTTATCCCTAACGCATTATTCTACTACATCTATCCATCTTTCCGCTATCACTAAGCAAGACAAGTCTATGTTATGTTATCTGTCCCCTCTCATTCATTTTTATCAGTAACAACTTGTACATATCATACCCTTATACACTATGCAGACTGGTGCTATTTATTCACCTTTTATACTCATGGCAGATAAATATTTATTTTGCAAATTAAGTGTGTTTGAGGCCACCCTGCTTTTATTATTTTGGCACAGCTTCTACTGGCACCAGGGAAAGAAAGTTTCTCAGAACCTAGTCAAGAAGTACTGGTACACCATGAGTTAGTGCACAAGATGACTGCTGCTGACATTCAGATAATGCATGAGAACAGATAGACTAAACTTTCTCTGTATTCTGTTTCTATAAGCATACAAGACTATAAACTGTGAAACACAAGTCCACATAAGTATTTTGTTGGTATGTAACAGGCTTGTCTCCCCTCTTCTAGAATGGATGATGCTGAAGCTTGTTTCATTCTGAGTAGTCGCTGTGAGGTGGACCGGACAGCAGCTGTAAGTTTTGATGAAATAACTAAGAATGTGCATGCTGTTTATACTGTTACTGCCCTTATTACCTCTCAGGGACTGAGACTTCTTCCGTGAACAGAAGATTAAAATTAGCATGCAGAGATTTTGCATGTGGGATGAACTTCTTGTCTCAGTTAAGATAATGAAAAGGTTTCTCTTGGATTCTACAAGGCCAGGATTTCACGAATTTATGAAACATGATCTAATGGCTCATTTCACATAACATATCTACTTCTACTTTTTTAGAAAAATAAGTTACATGACCTACCTACCAAAGAGGTTAGAATTTTACAGCACATTTTAGTTGAACTTCTATTTTTAAATGTAAGAATTTATACATTCTTTCAGGACTTTAAAAAGTACTGTAAGATTACAGTACTTTCAAAAAACAATTTTCATGCTGAATAAAGTAAATTTTTATCAGTTCTCTCCTTTTTTATGGAACAATGGCAGAATACCATATAAGCACTATCATGGTACCTTATAGAGATATTGATACTTAGTCATTAATCACTCCAAAGGGTAGTACTCTGTCAAAAAAGTTTTATTCAAATTACCTGGACTAATATCAGTGTTTGCTCTAGATATCCAATTCAAAGAGTTACATTTATTAAAACAGAAAAGAGATACATATCAACTGACTGGTATTTCCATTCAGAACTACCGAAGTATGGAAAGTTTACTACTAACAAAGTAAAGATTGAATTCTGCTTTATAAATTAATTTCTGACTAATACCAAATAACCAATATATCTGAGAGTATTTGACCATTTTTCATACTGGCCAATTTTAAACGTGAAAAATGGCAAGATTCTTTAAATAAGTTACTATAGTTTTGCCAATGCTACTAGTTATTTGCAGTCAGGTAAGTTACTGTCCACAAAGGAAGACTGCTAATACAAGCCTCTACTCAGCCTATCTGTGATAAAAGAATAAAAACTATTTTAATATAAACTAGAACTCTTCAAACTAATGAAATTACCTACTGATCACAAATACCCAGGAAAAAAGTCCACTGAGGAAGGACTTATGAACACAACTTTAAATTTTTCACCATGAGCTGCATGCTAAATTATTGCAGTCGCCTCTATTCAGTTTGATCTTGAACCCCAAAGGAAGATCAGAATAAGTCTGAATGTTCACAAAGTTGAATTAAGATGCTTACAAATTGCCTAACAGGATCAAACTAGTGCTTATAATTTGGTAATTATGTTTTAAACTATCTCAATTAAAAAATACCGTTTTACTACTACATTATAAGAAATAGCAATTATTTTTCTAAATGTTAAAAATAGGTACAGTAAAACACGGGGAACAAGGGCTTTGCATTATGTATGTAGTATTTCTTAATATATTCTCTATCACTTGCTACAATTACCTCATCTGCCATCAAAACTTAGTTGTTTCCATACCTACATATATGGCTTATGAGAGAAGGAAGAACAAAAAAAGCAAAATAAGCTGCAGCTAGCAAGGAAAAAGGATTATTTCCTTGCTAGGCAAATGAGCCCCCAGAAGCAAATTGTATCAAAAATAACTTAATTTTTTGTAGACTATCAGCATGCTGTAAAAAAATATTTTATTCAAAACTAAAGACCCTGTGCTGGACCCATCACTCGCAGAAAGCCACTGAACTCCCTGAGAAATAAATCTGTGCTCCTTCTATAATATTCAAACTTACTGAACTAAGAGCTTTGAATTTGATTAATCAGCAATAGACTCCTGAAAACACACTAGCGAAAGCCACTGAATTGGCAGCAAGTAATCCTGGAGTAGTCAAGTAAGGCAAGCACTCAGAATGTACTGTTTGGAAGTGACAGAGGTGCTAGGGTATTTAAGGATAAGAACAAGCAACAGTTCTTGCAAGTACCCGGGAAAATACTGGTAACTTCTGAGAGACTGAAAAATATCAAAAAGCCAAACCACCTTGCCTAAATTAGCCATGAAGTTCAGAATAAATCAGCTACAACATCTCATTTCACAAAATATACTTGACAGTCGTGAAATGGTTAGAAATGAGAAATCCCGTACAAGCAGAGCATGTGATTTACATTGCACTTGGTAGGTTTATGCAGCTTTAAGGACAGCTGCACCAACATAGGATTCACCTAGAGGTAAACTGTTCATCTCTGCTCATAGCCTCTCCAGAATTTATACAAAGAAAGGGCAATTTTCAACTCTGCTGAAGTCTCCTACAGGGCAGACAGTGGACTCTGCATCCAGAGCTTATGGAGCTTCTATCCGTTCTGGCCAGCACTATCTAGTTTTGGTTTCAGAGTTGTGGCCAGCTACAACTCTCTCCAGGCAGCCTTTCTGCCCTCAGCGACAGCGTGCCCCAGGAAATACCAAAATGGTACCTGACACATTTCAGCTTCCAATACAGACTATTATCAAATCTCATTTATCATTGTATCTGGAGCATACAAACAGACAAATCTTACCAAAGACACAATCCTGTTACCTTCCTCTGGGACAGAATGCCCTGTTGGGTGACTGGCTGGCTAGTTATAATGGTGCAGTATCTCAATTATAGCAGTGATACTCTGAGGGTCAATGTTATCTGAAGTTTTTAAACAAGATGTCACCCCTCTCTGTTTTTGTTGTTGTTGCTCAGATTTCCTTTTCACAGGGAATGCAATTATTTGTACTGCAAGTAGAAAATAGGACAACTGTTTTCTTTTTTTTATTTATTTTGTTTTATTTTACTGCCCCCTAGAGCTCTGAAATGAAATGGATTTAATTTCCTACACTACTCCAGCTCTAGTCACCACTAAGAACTTCAGTAATGTAGTACATAAGGTTACAGTTTGTCATGGGGCTGAAGGAAGTTCAGTTGTCATCCCAGTATCAATCTTTATAACTACAACTGATTTTTTCACCCCTGCTGTGCTTGAGAAGCTGACAAACTGTTAGGAGTGCCTTGGATCCTCTCCTACGTCTGACAGCTGTCAAAATAAAATTAACAGATGCATTGAGGAGATTCCCGACCAGAACAGCTGTTGTTACTCGTGATTTTTCAAAGTCCATGAGGGTTTTTATCTCCCCAGCTACAGTCCTCAGCAGAGGATTTACTCATTTGCCACAGATACCACTGGCTGTTCACTGCTTGCTGTTTCATTAGTTAATAAGTTTTAGTACCAAATCTGTGTTGCTTCTGATCCGTGGATCTCCACTATAGCTCAGAAGACAAATACAACAACAGGTGACATGCGGTTACTTCATAGAAATTGTCAGTTGCTTCCTTTTTCACTTGGAAGAGTAGGAACTTCAACAGTCAGACCAAGAATTTGTCAGCTTTCCAAAGTCTCCTGCCAGAAACTCTCTCTTCTCTGGCAAGACAAAGCTCTGCCAAATTTTATTCTATCAAATGCTATTTTGACATCTCAGACCTATAGCAAGCAGGACAGACATCTGTGTCACTTCTGGAGGATGCAACTCAAAGAGAGTTCAAATTGTACTTAAGTCCAGATACAATTTTTTTTTTTTTTTTTTTGATTGGTGGGTACAGAACAGTAGTCTGTGCCACACCATGAAGTTAGCCAGTGACTTCAATGGGCTGCCTACATCAGGTTGCTCCACAAAACAAGTGCATCTGCTGTTTTAACCCAAGGAGGGGCGGGAAGAGAAGTCTCTTTTGAATTATCCTATAGATAACTCATTAATGGGCTGTATGAATATATGAAAGACCACTTCTACTGCTGACAGTTTTGTTCTGATGCTTTCTGAAAATTCAGAGATGGTTGAGTTCAAGCTTGCAACTTTTTTTTTCCCCTTCCGTTAATCAAATTGCGTGACACTACTGTACTGGTAATCTAAGTTACACTGCCTTAATAGCATCACAAGATGGATGCATTGCATAGGAAGATATAACTAATTTATCAAGTCGTGTGTGGCAAGAAAAAAATTAACAGAACTATTTTAAAATATATATTAAATCAAGGTCTTGCTTTGAGTTCTGAATTATTTAAATTCCTGTTACACCCACTTTAAAACTTACAGCTTTTGATACATGAACTTCAATATCACCTCTATATTAATCACTATCGGTATCAGTGGTAATTTGATCACTGGCTGCAATTCATTGCGTGGAACGCACACAGAAGAGAATGTATTTTTTACCTCCTCTCCCAAGGAAGCATATATTTTATAATATGGATAGAAGCATAATTTTGTTTCAGTTATATCTGTTTAGAGTATGTACATATATACCTCCTTTTTACTTGGGAGAAATGTGAACATTTTTTAAAGTCACTACAATATAGTATAAAAATTGCTACATATGTAAAACAGAGAGCCACCAATACTGTATGAAGAGACTGAATCTAAGAAATCACTTAAAGTGCCTACCTGTATTTTCATTTCTCTCCCCTGGAATGCTTCTCCAGAGTGAAATTTGGGAGAGTAACTGAGCAAAAAACCCATGGAAACCCAAATAACCAGCTTTTGTACACAAACACATGTATATCATGTATTCTGGTGAGACCCCACCTGGAGTACTGCATCCAGCTCTGGAGCCCTCAGCATGGGAAAGACACAGACCCTTTGGAGCGGGTCCAGAGGAGGGCCACAAAAATGATCAGGGGGATGGAACACCTCTCCTATGAAGAAAGGCTGAGAGAGTTGGGGTTGGTCAGCCTAGAGAAGAGAAGGCTTTGGGCTTCTTGCAGCCTGTCAGTGCTTAAAGGGGGCTTATAGAAAAAGATGGCGGCAAACTTTTTAGCAGGGCCTGTTGCGACAGGACAAGGGGGAATGGCTTTAAACTAAAGGGGGGTAGATTTAGACTAGATATAAGGAAGAAATTTTTTACGCTGAGGGTGGTGAAA